CATTGCATCAAAAGTGAGCCCTCTGGCTGCTCTCCCACCTCAGCAACAAGACCCGTGAGTGGCTGGCTCCTTGCATCTGAAGAGCCATGTGTTGCAAACCGCTATGTGCTTGTGGGGCTTGTGGCAGCTCCGATGTTGCTCCAGTGCGTGGCTCTGGGACACGACTTCCCCTTCAGCTGCTCTAGACTGAAGGTGTCGGAGTGAGCCGGCTGAATTTTGCGTTAAGTGCCTCCCCAGTATATAAAAAGTTGCTGGGGTCAGGGTGGAGGGGTGGAAATACCTCCCTCGCGTCAGGGGAGTGGACTGACGCTGCATGCTCAGGGAATTCCTGCAGACCTGACCACAGAAAGGCAGTGCGGGGTGGAAATAGTCATAGGCTGTATTGCTTGGTGTGGGGAGACACTGCGGGCTCTGGAAGGGACTTGCTGACCTAATATTTCAAAAATGTCAGTTGAGGAGCTGCTCAGGAATTGGCAGCCCAGCCAGGACCTGCTGCTTCTCTCCTTAAAGGGAGTTTCTGGCACCAGCTGACAGCAGTCAGAACAGATTCTTCATCCTGGCTGCGCTGCTGCTGGGGAACATGGGAAGGAACACGGCACAAGCACAGGGTGACACCAGGTAGGGCTGGATGTGCAGCCTCAGGGCAGCACGGAGTTCTGCCAGGGGTCTGACCTGGGCTGAAGGGTGCTGGTGATAGAGATGACATCCCCTCTGTGGGCAGCCTGTCCTGGTACATGGCTGCCTGCACCACTTCCAAACCTTGGCCTGACTGCTGACCGTGCTCGTGTATGTTGAAGGCAGCAGACTACTGCTTTCTGTGATCTTTGGGACCTCTCCTTGCGAGACTGCCTGTGGGTCTTGTGTGGTCGAGGCATCTAATGGATGTGGTCTTCAAACAGGGCTTCAGTGTGACATCCCAGCCAGTCCCCATGCTGGCATGGAGGACGCATCCACAGGCACTTGGAGAAGTCTCCAACTCTTAGCAGCGGCAGAATTGCTGCCTGAACGCTTTCCATGCTTATTACAGTGGTATTCACTGTGACTTTACAGCAAAAGCCCTTGGTGCTTCAGCACAGGGCAGATGTGTTCTCAGAGACAGAAAGGGGAACAAGATGAGGTGGGCTGAGGTCAGTGACATTCCTCTTAATCTGGGAACTGCAACAGATGAAGCTGTAAAATCGTATTTCTGGGTAGCCTGTAGCAAAATCAGGAAAGGAAGCTGGATGTGTCGAGGCCCAGGACCTTTTGACCTCCCCGTCCTTCCTCATAGGAACATTTCTAGTTACCCACATGGATGGACCAAGCAGTAAACTAGATTTACAGTTTCTTATTTTTCAAACAATGATTTGAAATACTTTATTGAGCAGCAAAATTAATTGTATTTGCTCATCTCCCGCTCCCACGTACAATACAGAGAGATTTTCTCCAGAATCCTATTCTTTTCAAAAGGGTATTTTTTACAGTGCTCTGCTCGGTGCCTGTCTGGGAAACGTGTGCAGCCATTTGATAAATACATTGCGGAAAACACCGCTGAAGTGGCAGTCTGCCTGCAGCAGAGGAATAGCTACAGGGAAAAATGGTAAATAAGATATGTGTAAGTAAATTAATCTCGCTCATATAAGCTTGTTTGCAGCTTTACTTCGTGCCTGCAGCATAATCCTCCAATCTACAGCAGATGTTTAGTGTTGTGGGGGACCAGGCTGGGGACTGTGTGAAGAGCACTGGGTCCAAAGCTGCACAGGACCTCGTAGAAGGTGGTGGTGGTGTCTCTGCCTCACTGGGATTTCCCATCACAACAAGGTGCCGTTCTGTTACAGCCTGACAGACTGCACATCCACCATCGATTTTGCCTCACAGTATTAAATAATCGCCTTTTGTACTGAGTTTTATGCACAGTAGGTCTAGTCTCTGCGTAACTGATACATTTGTTCAGAACCCGTTGCTTCCCAGTGCACTTCTGGAGGATTTATAAGTGAAAAGAAATCCTTCCAAACGGCAGAACCTGAAACAAAGCCCAGCTTTTCAGATGAACAATTGTTTTCTTTAAGTCTTGCTGGATGTTTTTAGCATACTTTAGCAGCAGTGTGTTATTTGTTGTGGTGCTGTATGGGTCTGTTTTGATGGGATGAAGTGATTTTATGGGTTTTATCTAAGTTTATTTAAGTTGCCAATTAGCTGATTTATTTCACAACCTGATCTGTGGGTTAGAGCTGTGCAAACATGCTTCTGCTTTTGAGGGGGTGACACCCCGGGGTGCCTGGTCTGGGCAGCGAAGAGCTGCGCGTGCGGCTAACACGAGCATCGCTGTTTGCTGGGACCTGGCCGCTGTTCCCAGCGCTTCTGGCTTTTTTTCCCTGTTGTCCGAGCAGCGTGAGATGCCCAAGTGTTCAGTCCAGGTAGGGGATATGTGGGTTTCATGGCCAGCCACGCAGCAACACTCAGATGCTTCCCTCCTCTTGTTCCTGCATGTGGGGAAAGCCTCGTGGCAGGAGGAGGGGAAAAAGGTGGGGAAGCTGCAGACTTCACTTGCGGGTTGATTTTCCTCTTGATGCTCCCCAGGAGTGAGATGAGCTGTGACTGGCCAGAAGCTGCTGCAAGGAGAGGCCTTGGGTTTGTCTCTCTGCAGGCAGAAGAGCAAAGCCAGGCTTTTAACGTGCAGTGGAATCGGGGCTTTCCTCCTATCCCTGGTGCAGGCTGGATTAAATGGTGACAGCCCCCTCCCTCCCTTCATTTCCCTGACTGAAGGGAACATTCGGGCTGGAGCACTGGGATGTGCGGAGAGCTGCAGCCCAGCCCAGAGGCGCAGGGATGTGGGCTGGAGCTTTCCCAGCCATGCAGGCCAGCCCGGGGAAAGCCGCTGCCTCGCAGGCAGGGCTGGAGGCTGGGCTGTGCTTCCCGGGGCCAAGGCGCTGACCGTCACCCAAAGCCGAGCACACGGACACCCCACGAGAGATGTGTCCTCGTGAGTGTCTGGTCGGGAAATGCGCTGCTCCACAGGCTCTGGAGCGTGAGGAAAGTGTCTTTGGAGATAGCAGCGTGGCTGCAGGCTTTCCAGGTGCAAACCTCACACGAGCGTTGTGCAGACAGCAATCCCTCTGCTTCCCGCGAATCCATTCCGATGGACAGGATTGTTGCTGAGCCAGAGCAGGGCTGCAGCTGCCTTTCTCGGCTGGAGCCTGGGTTTGGGAGAAGGGAGGTCTGGCAGAGGGGAGACTCACCCTGCTTTGCTGGTGGATTTGTGGGACCAGGCGGAGTGTGTGCTGGATCCTGCACCCCTTCCCTTGCTGCTGCGAGCCACCCCCGCTGCCTGCCTAAAGGGATTTGTGCTTTGGGATTGAAGGGTTTAAATATAGTTTTAATAGAAGCTTTTAAAGTGGATCTCCCATTTCATTTCTGGTTTGGGTGAGTGACATCTCTCTCAGTTTGTTTCAAAAAAGCTGCAGAAAAAGCAGAAGGGGGGAAGATTATACCTGGGTGGAGAAGGAGGGGAAGGAGGTGAACAGTGGGCTGCAGGGAGGAAGGTGTTAATTTGGAGGTTTCCTTTCTGTGCCACTGAGTGCCCAGCGTGTCCCAGTGACTGGCACAACCTAGGGGGAAGCCTTGCATCCACATCTTTCTCTCCTTACTGATAGAAAAGATGGCTTGAGCTTGGCTGCTGCACGTACGCGGGGCCTCGGGAGGTTGTCTCTTCGCAGCCGAGTCCAGCTGTAGCGTGGTTAACTGAGCATCGCTGGGCACCTTCGCTCCATGCTCCTCGGCAAGGGTGTCATGTGCATTCCCAGGCTGATGCTGGATGGGCCTTTTGAACTCAGCCCCACCCTTCCTCGTGTAAATTAAACGTAGCCAGTATGCAAACACGGTGATGCAAGTGTCACCTGGCGTGCAGAGGTTTTTATGCCCAACCTGCTTTGCGTGTGGAGAACCAAAGGCTGCAACATTTCAGAGGTAAGCCTGCACTGAGATTCACTGGATGCAGTCCAGGGTGCTGTGACTAAAGCGATGTTCTTCCCCTCTGTCCCCAGAAACTGGGCAGAGGGATGAGATGATGCATCCTGCAGCACTGCATCTTCAGAGGTGATTAAGGGATGACAGCCATTTGCTGCAGAGGATCGTTTCCTGCTCTGGACTGTGCTGGGAAGACTGAAATCTGTTTTAATTGAAAGAGTGATTTTATTCTGCAGTTTTAGCTTTGTATTCCATCTTGGTGTTCTGTAGGTCTTTTCCAAAGGAAAAGCTGATTCCCACATGCTGATAATCTTTCAGCATCGTTGATTTGCAACTCCGTATAGCTTTCATACACGGTGGGCAGCAAGGGTAACGCGTGTTTGCCCACAGGCTGTGACTGAGGTGGTTAGGGGTGACCCTGGAACCAGATTGGCTTTTAAATTCTACCCTTGCTGTTGACTGCATTGCCAATAGCCATTAGCCATGGCTTGGCTTCCAGGCCGTTCTGTGACACTCTCTAGGGCCCAACAGGGCAACTGAGAGGCTACTGTGGAGCCCTAAATGGCTGTGGATATGTTGTTAGGCACACTGGGTTTGGATACATAGCAGAAGGTCTTGTACCCCAGAAATAGGAATTCAAGACATTGAACGTTTGACCCTTTACCCTCATCTTGTTAAGCTGTACTTCTCTCTTATTGCAAGCCCTGCTTGACTGTTGGCCTAGCTACGGAAGGAGAAGTTCTCTTTAGCTATGTCACTTGTTGCACATCAGATAAAATCTCATCTTTATCGCTTCCGTGTCTCGCTCGATGCTTGGGTTTGCCTTTCCTTCTGAGTGTTTGCAGCTTGTTTACAGCTTGCCAGTGTTTTGCCTTCACTTTCTTGTACATTGGAGTGTCTCGGTTATGTTTAGTGAACATTATTACTCAGTTTAACCTCTGTGTTTCCTTTTAGGTATTTCATGGAGAGATCCCCTCACGCCACATGCTGTCTGTGAGTGCTAGCATCGCAGCACTCTGCAGTGCCATCTGAGACCGTACCAGCTGGACACAGCGATGGGGGACTCTCCAACAAACGCCGTGGATGGAGGCATGGACACGTGCTGCAAAGACACGCAGACTGAACTGGCAGAGCGGGTAGCAGCCATAGATGTGGCTGTTGGCCCAGACAGAAATGACCAAAATGGTGAAGGCAATGCTGAAGAAAATGACACAGTCTTTTCTGATAACATAAAAGACATCCAAAGAAATGGAGTCAACAGTGACACAGGAATGAATGAATTTCTGCCTTCCCAACGGTCAGAAGATGCTCACTGGAGGCATGTTCCCAAGAGACCTCTCACTAGACCTGTCCTATCAAGTAGGAAGTGGTCTCTTCAGGAAAGATCATCAGGAGGTTATTTGGCTTCTAGCAACACGCCAGGTTACGGTCCTTATGCCACAGGGCCATCACCACGTATAATGAGGAGGCCAACGATAGAGTCCAATCGGGTCTCCATATCAGATTCTGAGGTAGGCATGTTCTCCTCTGTAGTTGTGGTGTCAAGGTAAGGTAAGTCTTTCTTAACTGGTAGTCTTTCTTAACTTCAGTCTTTTCGAGTAGTAGATCTGAAAGCACTGTTTCTCCTAAGGGGAAAAAACCCATCCTTGAAACCAGGGATTGTATTAGCTTGGAATGGCTGAACACCTTTGATTCCATCGCCCAGATCTCTTCTGGGTGTAGCCCTGGTCCTGACACTGCCTGCTTCAGCCCTCACCTGCCTGGGGTAGTCCTGTGGAGGAGCTGTGACCGCTGCTGCTTAGTGGTAGCATGCAGAAGGGCTCTCGGGCTGTGCACGGCTTTGCTCTCATGTCCCTGCTGTACGTGCCCTTCGGGAGTTTATCAGTCACAGCAGCTTTGCTGCTGGTATTTTATGGTTTTAAGCTTCTGGAGATTATGTATCTCCTATTGTGTTTTGCCATTATTGAAGGCATGATTTAATTTTATAAAGAGCTTAAATGCACTGGTGTTTCATACTTATGTCAGGATTTTCCTCTGTCTTGAAAGCATTTGTAACAGCGGTGGTAACAGAGGGCCGTGACTCCCCCTCTCCTTCACAGGAGTGTCTCTGGCTGTCTGTGGTCATTCCTACTTGTCCAGCTGCTCTCCTGGTACTGGATCTGGGCTCAGACCTCTCCCAGAGGTGTAGCACGCTGTAGTCAAGTGTACTGATGGAAGTGCCTGCTGGTTGAAGTTCCCTGTGTTGTACCGGATGGGGAAACCCGTCCCCTTCTGCTGTTCCAGGGAAGGACAAGGAGGAAGGCATCTGCAGCTTTCCTTTCCAGCCTTTCCCACTGGCATGCATGCTATCACCTGCTGTCACGGGGAGCAGAGAGAGGGGCTGCAACACCACACTGCCTGGCGTTGCACCGAAGATACTGAACCTGCAGCAGTGCCTGTGAGAAAGGGACCTGCCGATCAAAGTGAGGCTTCAGCAGGGCTTTCTTTGAAAGCCAGGCATGATGGAGGTGGTGCAGATGGGTGGTTGTGGAAGCAAAATGCTCTGTAAAATGCTACTGGCTGGGGAGGGATTTTTAAATAGGGAATGGGCTGTCTGGAGTACTGGAGAGGGGACATGATCTCTGCAGGGCTGGCATCTAGTTTGGGAAAAAACGCTCATATGTGAATTATCCCTGAAGCCCAGGCTGTGTGTTTCTTGAGATTTTTATCTGCTCTTTGTGGAGGACGAAACCCCAAGTTTCCCTTGCCTTGCCATTTCCCTGAGGCTCTCACCCGGTGAACTCGCCTCCGCCGCTGTGTGCAGGCACTGAAGCCAGGCAGAGAGCAGCTGGGGGTTTGGGACCAGTGTCCATCGGACTCTTCCTCACCCCGTCCAACGGGGAACGTGTTGCTGAACATGGCTCTGCCAGTGCCACTGCGACAATATGTTGCACTGTGGCACTCCCGACCGTGATGCTGAAATCCCATTGTGGTCCCTGTGTCATAATGGACCAAAACACTGGAGTTTAGACTTTTTCTAGTGTTGGCTTCAGGTGAGCTGGAGCCTAACAGCTACGTGGCTTAGTGTTTCCCCCCTGAAAAGTGGGTGTTTTCCCCTTGCATATCTGAGAGGATGGGTGCTGTGCACAGGCAAATAAGCCGTTGTTCTCTGGAAGTTTTGGAAGTCACGTTAGCTGAGATGGGCCGTGGCACCCCTGGCTGATAAGAGGATATCTGCAGAAGGTGCGCTGCAGAGATTGCAGCTGCTTTGACAGCAGCCCTACGTAATAAGGGAGACCGGGGGGGAGAGGAGCCGGTTCTTGGAAGCGGACGTGACTTGTGTGCCAGCTCTCCCATCCTGCAGTACTTTGGCTGTGCCAGGAGTGAGGCTTGTCTGAAATCTGTTTCAAAGTAACTGCAGTCGAGTATGACTAGCACATTCCCATCTGCAAGAAAATTCAAAATAGTCCATCCACTTGCACAGCATCTGCATCCTGGGGAGCCATCGTTATTGCCTTGGGGTAGGAAATGCTTGGCTTGAAATGCAGATGAGGATCGCAGCATTCCCCTGCTCCTGCAGCAACCCTTTACGTAGTCCTGAGTTTTTAATGGTCGTTTTGATACAACTATTTAGAGCCCTGCTCTGGTGCAGCCTAGATGCTTAACAAAGCCGTGCTCATCAGAAAGCATCATTCATATTAATGGAGAATCACTGTGGTAGGAGGGGGATGGGAGCCCAGGAGAGAGCTGTGCGCATTTGGAGGTGGGGTGCTCCTGGGAGCTGTGCTTCATCTTCCCAGCTTATAGGGACAGTGTCTGTATCCTATGAGGAGCAGCAAAAGGACTAGGAAGATGCATGCTTGTTTATGGAATGAAGTTTGGGCTGGCCACTGAATAATGAGAAACGTGTTGGGTGTGTGACAGCAAGGCGAGCGTGCAGCCTGTGCGCAGCCCAGTGTCCTGCAGGTGACCTACCGGTTGCTGCGAAGTGGTTGTTGCGGGGTCTTGTGTGAGAGGCACTGACAGTCCAAAGCTGAGCTGTACAGCTAACGGATACAGCGGGGAACTCGGAGATAAATGGAGAGCAGATCTTCTGTTGCTGCATGCATTTGCTCAGTACGGTTGCTGTGAGCAATAGCAGAGCCTTCCACATGGACAGGGAAGACTGACCAGTGCCAGGAGGTGGGACAGGGCTTCTAAGTTACGGAGGCTCCATGTTGAGGCTTCTGGTCCTATGGGGAATAAAACAACCCTGTGATGAGAAATACAATCGTGGTGTACTCAGCAGCAGCTGCTGTTGTGTTTTCTGTTAATCATCTTGATACAGAGCCCTTCAGTGAGCAAGGAGGCTGCTAGGTCACTGACAAGATCCAGCTCACCGGTCACAGCATTGCCCCGGTCTCCCTGCAAATGACTCTTTTGACACATCGTGTTCTAGGCAAGCTGCACGTTTGTACTCGAGTCCATGTCTCTCACCTGCTTTGAGCCATTTTGGAGTTGCCCCTTTCTCCCTGCACCGAGTATCCATCATCATCTGTCAGTGCCTTCCAGGTGGCAGGACATCCATTGCGTGGCTTGTGGCCACTGTCCAGGCGAGTTACAGTCTGTGCAGAAATGAAGTTGGTGAGCGTTCGGACTTTATCAGTGGCACACGTGGGGGTGCCATCCATCAGGAGCAGAGATGGATGGCAGAGCTGCGTGTCAAAATTTCCTGCGTTCTGCCGATAGCCATCTAGGGTTGGATCTGCTCTCCCTCTCCAGTGATGGCAGGAGTAGCAGCTCACTGCCTTGCTGTCAGCGGTTCTGTAGCCTCGACTGGCCTGGAGAAATAAGGGAGAGGTGAGCTATGGGGAGACTGGTTATGGGGGTGCAGCAGAGGTGAGTTCTCTGCTGAATTATGGAAGAACCATGTGTTCAGTTAGAGAGACACTGCTGAGCTTTTTGATGCTGGTTTAATACTTGTTCACAGGCTGGGAGGAAAACTTCTATTCAGGGATCAGAGAACTGAGTGCTGAAGCTGGCCCCATGACACTGCAGGAGGATTCATCCAGCGCTGCGAGCGAGCAGGGAGCTGGGCTGTCTCGTCCCCAGGAGCCATGCTGCAGATGCCTGCCTTCTCAGCAGGGTTTCTTGGGTTTGGTATTTAGGAAGATGGCAGGTCCTGGGCTGGCAGGGCTGCAGCAGGGGCAGTTCCCAATCAACCCAGCAGAGACACCAATTTCCCTGGGACAGAGAGTTGGCAGATGCTGATGTCTTGCAGCTGCTGCTGACAAGTCTGGATCTGCAATATTAACTCTGCAAGAGAAGTAACCTGTTCTGCTCTCCTGACAGCGTTACTGTGTACTTAATTAACCTGATCTGCCCTATCTCTATTAAAATTGGTCTGTAATTTAAAAAAAAAAAATCCTGCTTGTTCCCCTCCTTTCTTAGATGATTCATGGACTGTGGCCTGGAAGGTCCTTTCAGCACTGCCTTCTCTGGTAGGAGTGCCCGCTGGGCTGGTGGGATTTCTGCTGCCTTGGCTGCCCATCAGTGCTTCACTCTAACAAGGGATGGCTTTGCCTTTAGCTGTGGCAAAGAAGTGATTAAGCTGAAGCTACTAAGGGTACATAACTGCAGAGCAGAGGTGCAGGCCCCAGAGTTTAGGTCGCTGGCCCACATTGCCTCTGTTGGTGTGACGTTCCTGGCTCCTGCTCAGTGTTGACAGCATTGCACAAGGAGAGGGTTTTCCTGGGGCTGCTAAAAGCAGCTTCTGCTTTGCTGTGCAGATGATGCTCTGGTGCTGTTATGTGCCGGGGGAGAGCCTTTGAAGATGTTGGTGCAGACTGATGGGCATCTTGTCGTTGTCTGACAGAGCTCGTCCCACCTAAAATGGCGAAGTTTGTGTCTCTGAAAGGGTAGAGGTGCTGCTTGTTGGAAAGTGGCATTTGAAAATGCAGTGCTGGGGTTTTTTTATTCTACCATCCCAAACCAAACTTTTGAGGTAGCAAAGAAATCTCTTATTTGGAGAGTGGCTAGAAGAAGAATAGAAGATGTCTTTTTCCAGGCTTTCTCCCCAGACCTGCCAGCAGTGTTTATTGCTTTATATATACAGTCACTTCTGGCTGAATTGTCCTTTCTTTCAAACGGTCCCTTTCTCTCCCTGCATCCATCCACTCCCTGGTATCCTGGTTCTTCTAGCCCTGGTGTCTGCGTGGTCTCTCCACTCTCAGGGATCAGGAGTAGATTGTTGCAGCTCCCTGCTGCCTGGGCAGTCCCCCACGTCATGGCCGTGGGCTGTGGCCATGTGTGCTTTAGCATCAGTGGAGAGGATGAGTCAGGCCAGTGAGTTCTCCCTCCTCGGAGGGAGAAGGATGAGCTGACAAAGGGAATTTTCCTACGCTTCATGTCCATGGCTTATCCCAGAGACATGGAAAATAAATGGCTGCTTTGTCCTTTCTTTCCTTGGCTTTCTAAATCTTTATCATAGGCCTGCTGCCTGTTTGGCCAACTGGTGTGAAGAGCTGTGAGAGGCAGTGCTTCGGTGCTGGGCTGATCTGGGTCTCCCGCTCCTCCAGTCTCTGGGAGCTGCCTGGTTTTCTTCTTGAGGTCCTGATTTCCTTGCTGTGCACAAAGGTAAACCCAGGTGTGGCCAGGGCAGCAGCAAGGGCCAAGCTCCCTTGCAGCATGGGCTGGAGAGCTTCCTCTTCCAGCCCCACGAGTCCCCCAGAGTCATTTCTCCGGGAGATACTACTGTGGTGCTCAAACTAGAGCTCTCTTGAAAAGATCAAAGATACTTGGAAAACATTTCTTCAAAGAAGAATCCCCCGCAGGCATTGCTAATTTCTTTTCCTTGGATTAATTAACCTTTAAATAAAGATACCTTCCCAATTTGGCTACGGGCCATGATTTGAGGAGGAGAAAGCCCAAAGCTGCAGTTGCAGAGGGGCTGGAAAAGGGCTGCCCTTGTCCTACTGGTCCCAGCCCCTTTTATTCTTCCAGCCACTCTCCCAGCGATACCCCAGGGCCGCAGCAGGTACTCGGGCTCCCACATCCAGCTTCGGGGCTGGAAAAGGGCTGCCCTTGTCCCACTGGTCCCAGCCACTTTTATTCTTCTAGCTGCTCTCCCAGCGATACCCCAGGACCACAGCAGGTGCTCAGGCTCCCACATCCAGCTTCAGGGCCTGGGGTGGGTGAGCCCAGCCAGCAGTGCTGAGCCTCTGCCTTGCACTTTCTGCCCAGCCGTGGCCAGTGCTCCTGCCAGCAGCCAGTCCTGAGGGGCTTCCAGTTTGGCACTGGGCTTTGGATGTTTAAAAATCTGTTTATTTTTCTTACATCCATGAGCTCTGGGCTTCCTGTGTGTCCTTTTCTGTCCCTGGACAACTTTCTAATTTGTCTTCATTGCTGCCACTAATGCCCTATTCTGGCTTGTATTTTCATTTTGTCTGGTTTTAGAACTGCTTCCACTTCCTTTCCAGACAGGATGAGTTTATACCAATGTTGTCTTCATTACTGGCTTTTGGTTCCCAATTTTCTTTTCCATGCTTCTCTTTAAAGTGTATCTCTGAATTGCTGAAACTTAGAATTCTTTTCAGATTGGTGAATTTGGCTTCATTGAGAGGGCAATATATTGTGTATGTATGTAGGCAGTCTGATTGTTTTTGGAAATGTCTTACTTCGGAAACCAGCTCAGGTTCTTCCTTCCCATCCCCATGCCCCCCTCGGTCAGCAAATTTCTCAGTTCCTCAGGGTTCCTCTCAAACGGTGGCAGCAGTGGATTTATGGAATTGGGCCTGGACTCTGCACTTCGCTGCACTTCATGAATTTTGATCAATTTTTGTTTTCTGTGGCATTGATTCCCCCTTCCCTCTCCTGAGCAATACCTTGGACATGTTAACAAATGGGGCATCTTGTTTTTTAAGGTGGAACAATAATTGCATGCTTGGAGGACCACAGCAGCCTAATTTGCTGACAGCTTTTCATTAAAGGATCTCATTAGGGTTTTTGCTGTGTTCGTATTTATCAGCACTTGCAAATACATTGGCGTGATGAAATCAAGAGGATTGTACAACGTTATCTTTAAGAAACACTTGGCCCAGAGAGAGGTGTTTCTCTCTGATAAAGGAGTAGTACAATTATCCCACTTCCTGCAGGAGAACCAAACTTAACAGCCGTGCCAGTCTGCAGCAACACGTGGCAGGAGGCGCTTGGGCTGTGAATGATGGCCTTTCCGCAAGGGGAAAAAAAAAAGGTAGGAAGCACCTATAATCTGGTTTGATTTTTGCTGTGTTCAGCTCAAGTGCTCGAAGCATCATAGGGGCAAGGTGATAGTGCTTCTCACCAGTAATGAACTGAGTGGAGAGCGATGGAGGGGAGATCAGGTGGGATGCGGCAACAGCGAGTGTAAACTCAGAGGCTTCAGGCGGTCGGCCTGCTGCGGGACAGAGGGGTAGCTTCTAGCCAGAGGTAAGAGGGCTGCTGGGAAGGGGGTCGAGTCAAAGGATTTGGTGCCTCACACGCAGGGACAAGGCATAGTTGCACTAAATGCTGTGTAAGGGCGTTCGCCCAGCTGCATGGACTACATCCCACACAAAAGGCCCTGTTTTCTTGGGAAGGAGGGAAAAAATCCCGCCGTGGCTTCCACGGCAGCGCGTCGGCAAGAAGAAGCACTGAACTTGCTGCTTTAGGGATGCCACCTTGGCTTGAAACAAGGTACTGAGTGCAGCCCAAAGAGTACATGGCTGCAAGTAAAAGGCTGTATTTACTCCTACAAGTAATCCCTGCTCGGGGGAGGAGCCTGATAACAGGACCTGGTCATTGCAAGCTTGCTGGTTTGAAGAGCAGGAGATCCTCAGGTGGTTGGAGGCTTCCTCGGGGTAGGGGGGCTGCTTTTCCTGCCTGTCTTGGACACTGTGGTGGGTACTTCCCCATCCCTGCAGCACTGCAGCTTTGCACAGGACAAGGCGAAGGGTGCAAACCTGAGCAGGGGGAAACCCACGGCAGGAGACATCCGCAGAAAACTGCTCCTGCATAATTTGTGAAAATCGCCACGATAAAGCACAGCCTCGGGCTGGGAAGCAAATCTGCTGACACAGGGGTTTGAGGGGAATTTATCCTCCAGTGTCTGTACCCAGGGTTGCTGTGTGCTCCCTCGCCTCTGGGGAGGCGAGTCCTTTCTACAGAATTCAGTGGGATTTCTCTTTTCCACATATCTCTGTGGTCTTGTGCTTTACCTTGTAGCTTTTGCTGGGTCATGGTCTCTCCTCCTGTTACTCCTAGTTCTGATGGATTGGTTTTTGCCGTTGGAAAGATATGTGCTTTGCTACCAGCAGAGTTAATACATTTCTATGGCCCTATTACTCAAAGGTTGCTCTTTCTGTCAGGCTGGTGGAAAAATCTTCCTTCACTGGAAACAAGATCAATATTCAAATCATTCCTTGTACTTCTGACAAGCCACTGTTAGACAGCTTAAGAAGTCATCAGTTCCCCATTCCTTTATTCTCCTTCACTGTGATGATCTCTTGCGTTAGGAGTGGTTTTTAGGTGGTGATGGGGAAGAGTCAAAATTATCATGTACTGCATCCGTGCTCTAATGCATCCCGAGAGGCAGAGGAGTATTGCTTTCAGTGAGGATGCTGCATGGGGACGGGACCGTTCCACCCCCTGTTCTTACAAACAGACTGAAAGCCTCTGGCACTGCTTCTGTAGATTGTGGGGCTATTTTGGAGTTTACGGGAAGGCCAATCTACCTGCCTGCATATTTCTATCAGCTTTGTTCCCAAAGAAGTGCCTGGTGCAGACGTTGGAAGCAGATTTCCAGCCTGCTGTACTGCTTGGCAACCTCAGGGAGGAATACCATGTTTTAAATGCTCCTTGGGGAAGTGTATCCCACCTAAGGCCCATCCCACACCATGTGTTGTGGTTGGAAGCTCCCCCTTTCCCGCACCCCATCGAGTTTAGGGCTGTCCCCTCCGCTGTAAGGCATTAAGGGCTGTGTCTTGCAAGGACCAAAGCAAAAGCCACTGGAGATCACCCTCCCCAGTGCTGGCGCTGCGGAGATTGCCACAGGAGCACTCTGACTTTGCCAGGAGCTTTGGAGCGAGGTGTGTGCTGTCCTTCTGCAGACTCCGTGGCAGTGGCTGAGCCGGGCAGGACCCCTGGGTGCTCCCGGGCAGCCCCAGGGAGAGCTTGGTGCGGACACTGCATGGTGCTCACCCTGCGCCCGTGGTCTCGGGTCCCTCGGGCTCTGCGGCATCTGGGGTTTGCCGCTTGTAATTAGCGAGGGTGGAGGGGTTGGCTCCAAGTGAAATGCAGTCGTGGAGGTTTTGCTGCTGCTGTGAAAGTTTTCTGTTAGGTAGTACAGTACTTAAGGAAGTGGTGGACCTGGAATCTGGTGAGTGCGTGGCTCCTCTGTTCTGCCTCGGCTCCAGCAGTTGACACCTGGGGCCACCATCACTCCCCACATGGTTCCCAGTCTGTCAAGTAGCTCAGCATCCCATCATTACACCCTTGTCACAGCTTGCTGGGGGTCTGCACCCACCACCCTTCCAGCCCTCGGGATATCAGCGCTGGGTAGCTTGCAAAAGAGATCAGGCCTGCTTTGGGGTGATTTATTTTGGCAAATACTGCGTTAGCTGAAGGGATTCTGTTGTTTGTGTTGCACTGCAAAGGTGCTCGGCTCTGTGTGCCCTCCTCAGGGAGCAGCCTGTGATCCAGATGATGCTTCCCCTGGGTGCAGCCCCAGCCTTGGTGTGTGGCCCACAGAGGGTCCCTGTCTTTGCCAGGCTCATGTTGGGAAGGGTGTGTGCTCACACTGCAACCCTGGGGCTGGCGTGGGTGCTGGGAGGTGGGAGCTGCCAGCCCATGAGACCCCCCTGAGCCGGGGACGGGTGTTTTTCTCCTTGGTGTTGAACAGTCCAATGTAGATGGTTAATGTAAAGTGGCTTTGGGGCTGCTGTCAGTCTCACCAGGCTGAACCTGTAGTGATGCTGGGGAATCAGGATGGAGGGGTCTCTGGCATTACACCAGCACAGTCAGAGTCAGAATTCAACCCATAATTGCTTTCTTTTGGGCTGTCAAAAAAAATTGCAGTGCTTAATAGTGTAATGTATACCTGTTTAAATAGGATTTTGTCTTCCATTATTCAACATTCTGCCTCTGCTTGATGCTGGTTCAAGCTCAGTCATTTCCTTTTACCAACACTCTCATTATGTTCTCCTTCTGATCTGCAGGACTGTGTGCAGTTGAACCAATACAAGCTGCAGAGCGAAATAGGCAAGGTACGTTACTGGAGCTTGGGTTTGTCACAAGCGACCTGCATGCACGCACACAAGTATGAGTGGAAAGACTGTGCCACCCCAAGACTCCCTGCAACTTGTATGTGTTTGGGGTTGGTTGTTTGTTTGTGGGTTTTTTTTTTTCCTTATTAGTTTGAGCAAGTTTTGTTCAAGGTCAAAGCGGAGCTGCTTCCCCTGAAATCTAAATTTATTTTCCTTCCCTCTGAAGGTGGTTAAGCTGGCTCTCGTCCAACGTGTTTGCTTGCCAAATGTAGTGCTAAGAGCCTTTGCATTAATACAGCCCAACAAGGAAAGAAAACCTAAAAAAGATCAGGGCAGGTGTTTGGTCCCCATCAGGACTAGTGTAAGTTTTTATGCCCGTGAATGAGATGCGAGTTTAATTCTAGTCCACGTTTAAAAGCTGCAGAATGATTCAGAAGAGATTCCTCCAACGTTATTTAGAGGTCTGGGCTGCCAAACAGTTCAGCCACCTGCACATTTGGACATCTGCCACCGTTGCAGATGGGTCCACGAGTGACGGTGCTGTCTGGAAGCTGTACCTGCCTTTGCAGTCGAAACACTGCAGTCAGAAAGGGCTGTACCCTGAGCTGCAGAGTCCTTCCCCAAAAGTTTCATTAGCCCAAACTCCTCTCCAAAGCGAGAGGCCTCAGGGCGTGGGAGGAGGCACCCTTACCTGAGTGGGCTTTGCATTTGACTGCTGGCAGTCAGGGTGTATGGCTGGAGATACCACTGCTGGTGGTACAGCTGATGTCGTCTGAAACACGCACGGCTTCAGACACACTTATGGCTTTTGCCATTGGCTTAACTATGATTTAAGGAGAGGGTGAGGCCATCTTTCTCATAGATTTGCCCCTGCCACCTCCTTCCCTGTGGGTCACAGTGAAGGCACTCTGAGATTGGTAGGAGGTCTGCTGGACCTGCTGTGCTTCTGGATCAGCCAGATGGCTTGTCAGTCTCCTCTGAGACCAGGACCCTGATTCCAGCTCTCAGTGAAGTCCAGAGAGATGTTTTGAAGGCCATCCCACTCATTTATGCAACAGGCATCTGTCAGGGATGATACTTAGCCATGGTGGCATGTTTCACTTGTATAAATGTATAGTGTTGACACAGAACTGTGAGAAAACAGTGTTTTGGATGGAGTTTGGCTTCAGGCTGTCATTGGAGCTGTGGATACAGCAGCAATCCAGGTCTGCATCTGCCTGGGCAATATGTGCTTGGTGGAAAGCAAGCAGCTGGTCCCCACTGAAGTCCATTTGCTATCGAGATGGAGAGGTTTTGTGCTGAACATGTTCTTGTGCACAATTACCGGGAAAGGTGTTCATGCAGAATTGCCAAACCTGCACCAAAAAAAAAAAAAAAGCAAGCTTGAAAATTCTCTCTGCTCCCCACCCACATCTGAGTTAAGACAGACACAGGGGCTTTGGCTCAGGGCAGGGGGTGATGGGCTAACACTCTAACACTCAACTCCTCCAGACGCTGTTAAATCCTCAATGTCCTGTGACTCCAACAGAGCTGTGGGGTCACATCACCTGCAGACCTCGCTCGGGGTAGGCATGGCGTGGGGCCTTGAAGGTTTTTTTTTCTCCCTGTGTCAGGCTACAGTCTACCAGCCTTGAGCAGCAAGGAAAAAAGGTGAAGCTGCTGAACTGACTGTGCAATTTATGTTTATTTTTAGGGTTCCTACGGTGTTGTGAAACTGGCCTACAATGAGAACGATGACAAGTATTACGTAAGTGTCTCTCTCCTACGCTCCTCACTGCTGCTGTGCCTCGTTCCCCTTTGCCCCACTATGAGCTAGGTCTTCTCTGCCTTCCTGCTTTTAGCCTGTGATTTCTGATGTGGGTAGTGTGCAAGGAGTTGAACCTCTCTGCTGGCCATGGAGCTGCTGCCTGCACGCCTGCTCCCGTGCGATGCGAACCAGAGGGAAGCCAGGTGGGCTGCCTTATGTAACAGGCGGGGATGGCAGAGCTAGGCTGCACAAATGTATCACTGATTTGTCTTGACATTTTCAAGCTATGAAGCAGGTCACCTGAAATTAGAGGCGTGTGGGTGGTGGCATTCAGCACCTGCTGCGCGTTGGAAGATCAGCCTGGAACGAGCAGGCGTGTTTTGTAAGGAAACGGGGGCGTTTATCAGAAAGATGCTGAGCAGCGTGGCCCAGCTGGGCACTGCCTGGCTCCCCTGTGCCTTATCCCCTTGCGGGCTGCCTCCCTGTACACCGAGCGGACGTCGCTGTCGGATCCTGAGGTGTAGGGTGCAGGGCAGAAGGCAAACCTTGGCTTTTAAATCCTTTGCAGAGCTGGAGCCAGAGTTGAAGGGTTTCAGATTCAAAAAGGCTGCTGAAGGCTCCTTCTCTGTCCCTCCCCTTTCAGAGACAGGTGAATCCTAACCGTCCCAGCAGGGATTCCTGCAAAATCTGCCCGCAGACGCTCTCACGTCCCTGGGCTTGCCTGTGGCACGTTTTATTCAGGCTGAGAGCAGGAGGCGGAGAGCTGGCAAAAGGCAAACTGCCTGGCTGTGCGTGGCGGTACGGTGCCTGAAGGCTTGAGGAAACTGCTTTCCACAGTTCCTGGTGGATCCCAGGGCAGGCATCTGCCGAGCAGAGCTGGGTGGTTGCAGTGCCATTGAACCCGAACCCTGCTGCCCTCGATGCAGCCCTGCGCTTCAGCCGCTGCTCCGTACTGCGTTTGGTGAGAGGAGTCCTGCTTTCACTGCTGCAATGGAGTGGCCTCACATGGGTGAAAACGGGCCCGTCAGAGCACCCAGACGGGCTCATGTGCTGCTCGCTCCCTGTCCCAGCGCACGGAGCTGTTGGTCTTGGTACAAAGGGGAATAAGAATATGCCATGGAGATGTAAAGGATTCTAATTCTCTGCTAGTCCCCAGCTACCTTTTCCTCTCTGGCTATTGGATTTACAAGTGATGTATTAGGTTGGAGGGGCTGGGTGGGAATTGCAGGCCTTTTAGTATTCGTTAGCCTTTCTGCACTTCCAGCAGGCATGAAATTGTGGGAGAAATGTCTTGAAATGAAGGATGGAAGAGATGAGACAAATATCTGGACAAGATACCCTGAAGCTGGCCCAGCAAAGGAACCACAATTCTTTCCATCTCCTGCCCTTTCCAAGCTGACTCACCCACCGCACCGGAGCGTTGCTGTTTCCGATGGCTCCCTTTCTCCGCTGCCCTCTGAGCCCTCCCTCCTTGCCCTACAGCAGGACAGCTTGTTCTGCAGAGAGCGACGGTGCCAGCCGTGGCTTCTCTGATCTATCTGCCCCACGGCATAGGCAGGGCCAGGACCAGTGGGAGAATGGGAATGCATCACACCCTGTTTATTTCCAGCTGAAAGTGGTTTTGCTTTGAAAATTGTAACCTTTACGTTTTGGCACTGCCCTTTTGTCCTGGGAATCCCGGTGCTGTGCTGCAGGCTGCCCAGGGCGAGCAGGGCAGTTGTCAGCTCGGCAGGAGAGAGCTGGGTTCAGGTTAGCGTCGCCTGCTGCGTTCCTGTCTGTGTTTTGGATGTAGATTAATGCCGTGGACATAGATTTAGCTGGTAGATCAAAGCCAGAAGTGAAAGCTTGTGTCCAGGTTAGCCTGGTGTGTGTTAGTTAATCCCCACTTAATCTCCATTTCTTTTTCTAATCTAAGTGAACACTTTAAAGCTATGGCAGCCTGAGAGCGGCTCCATGCCTGGGCAGTGCTTCAGCCTCGCTGCCCAGAGAGGGACAGGGCGTGCAGATGCCCTTACCACCAGCATGGCAGGGACACGCTCTTTGATTTGCCCCAGTCTTCCTGTTCAAAACCTGAGGCAGGGCCTGAACCGGATCTCAGCCAGCTGACGGTGATCCTGGGAGGTGTTTGGAGTACTATGGCAGATGGAGAGATGGGACCAGAGCGAGAGAGTTGGCAGTGTTGGCCTGTGCATCATGGCAGTGGATGTCAGCATACGGGAGAGGGGAGATGGCTGCGCTGCCGAAAGGCTGGGATGCTAAAGTGCATCATGCTATCCTGCTGGGCACTGGGAGCTTCCCCCTTCCCCAGCTGCAGTCCCGTGCAGACAGGCTGTAACCTCTAATCCTTCCAGGTGCTCGTGCTTGTGTTTTCCAGGAGGGCAAGCCATGATGGAGAGACCCTCACTTTTCCAAGATGTCAAAACAGCCCAGGAGTGGGCAGACTTTTTAAAACTTTAGACAAATAGTAGCCAGTTGTGTAACTGGCTAATGGTTGCTTAGCTCCCCAAGCCTCCCAGTGGGTCTGACCCACGTCCTCTCCCAGTAGTGAGATGACATCCACACTGCTTTGCTCATCGTTCCCGTCCATGGTGGTGTTGCAGCAATGCACCCCCATCCCTTGGGGTGGGGGGATACCTCATGTGACAGCAATAGCAGTTAGTAGAAGCAGTTGTGATTCTGATAACTGGGGATGGCCTCTTCTGTGTGTTATTTATCCCCCAGTTTAGCTCTGGAGAGTTGGTTTTGTCCATGGTGAAAAGCAGTAAGAGATAATTGGAGGAAATGGGCCCTTGATTGGCCTTTAGTGAGCTGCCCCTAATAACCAGCTCCTCTGTGTAGTGTTTAGCATGAGGCCAGGACGTTGCTGCCTGCTTTACTTTCTTTAAACTAGTGTGCTGCAATAAAAAGGAGCAAAACTTCAAAGAAATCAGAACATTTTTATTGTGGAGTGTAATTCAGAGTGGGGCTCCTGATTCATGTTGAGGCATGGGGCCCTTTGCTGGCTGTCTTTGAAAAGGCAGTTTACAGGTACCAGGAGCTGAATCTAGCTCCTGTCAAAGCAAAAGGAAAGATGTCTGTTGCTTTCATGAGTTTGGGATCTGGCCTAGAATTAGGAAAAACTCTCAAGAAAAAAAGCTGATCATTAGATTTGGGGAAAAATGTAGATGGCTTGTATTTACTTTGTGGGTTTTTTAGCACTCTCCCATTAAAGATGGGAGAGTGCTTCCAAGAGCTTTATCCTTCATTGCTGTGAACAAGCACAGTGCTGTGCAGGACTGCGAAAGTGTGCTGACTTACATCAGCAGAGGCAGGGAATCTATTAGACCGAGGAATTGAACTTTCAGTGCCAAGTATGTGACCCAGTGCTCCCTCCAAGGAGTAGAGCCCACTGGGATGCGGAGCTGGCTCCCGGGGCGGAGGTCCCTGCCCTGTGCTCGGACCCTGCTGCTGCGGGGACATGCGAAGCTGTAAGAGCAGCACTCGCAGGGCTCTGCCAAGGAACCCATTACAGCTGGGAAGGTTTCAGTGTCTCAGTTTGCAGGAGATGCTTTGACAGTGACTGGGGGGAAAAAAGAAAAGCCAAGCTCTGGGAAAAAGCAGCAAATAAAACGCAGAGGCAAACGTGTCCAGGTGGAGACCTAGTTTGGAGTCATTGTGCCAATGGAATTTGATTCTGTGATGCCTTGGGTCGTGTCTCCTTCCCATTTTCAGTCTCTAAATCAGTTGCAAAGAAAAGTGGTTATGATAGACATTTGTTATGCTACTTTTGGACAAAAGCAATAGCATTGTAGGTTGTCAGTGGGTTTCTCTTCCTCCCCCTCCCGCTCTACTTCTTTTTTAATCTGGTTTCCTAAGAAACAAGATGTGTGTGATTGTGCTCTCTGCCTCTGTTTGTACCTAACAACCTTTGCATGGTGGGCTGTTTTCTACCAACTCTCAATGATGGGGAGAAATTCCTTCTAAGTTTATGAAAAGAGCTGGCTGAACAAGTGCTGCTGCCGAGGAGAAGGTGGCCAGCAACAAGCCTTGAACTCTGTAGTCCCTGGAGGATCCACTTTGGTTGCCATCCAGGTGGGAAGGGAAGGCACAGCTCCTGGGTTTCTCCTCCTCTTGATCACATAACAGCTACTGAACCACTGCCAGCTGCTCCGGTGTGTGAGGGAAATGGTGCCTGGATTCCTTTAACATCCCATGCTGTTGGGGTTATGAGGAGCTGGGTCATTGGGGTGAGAGCAGGACCCTCCAGGAGATGGCTGGGGACAGGCAAGTGTGGCTGCTCCAGGAAGGCATCCCTGCGGGGGTGCCACAGCATGCCGATGTCATTCTGCTGCTAATGTGACAAATGATGCCTGGGACAAAAGGTGACACATGCCGGAGCAGTGTTTTAGGGGCATGGCAGCTAAGCCTGTCTGGTTTAGGATTTCCTCTCAGTGTGTAGCACTCCTCTGTCCTGGCAGAGCTTCCTGAGGGATACGAGAGATGTTGGTGGACAGGACAGGTGAGGAAGGGCTGGAAATGCTCTCTGGTCTGCTCAGAATTCCTGCAGGGTGCTGTCACACACTAGCAGAGGATTTAGGTGGTTAGAAGTGACCTTTGATCAACATCCCACTGCCCTAGGAGCTGCATGTGGGGGCTGTGCACAGGTCTCTACCCTTGCAGGGCAAGTCCCTGGTAGCAAATCGAATGACATCTGAAGTGCTGGGAGAGCAGCACAAAGGATGGGTGCTGAGTTCCCTTGGCTTCAACCCTGTTATCACCCTTCCCACAGGCAGCTAATGGCCGTTTTGCTGTTGCCATTACCAGCAGCAGGATATGGGCTCAAGGTCTCGCTGTTGTGAAAGCTGCTGTGTCCCAGACATCCCTCCTCTCCATAAACCTGGGATCCTCTTTCCTTTGGGTGGCTTCCCTGTGGTTTCCAGCTGTCAGATTGCTAGGAGGAGAGCAGTAAACTTAGATAATAAACATACATCAAAGGAAAGCACACAGTTCCCGCTACCTCTTAAAGGAAAATGCCAAGACCCATGTCCATGCATGAATAGTAGGAAGGAAGGTGGGTACAAAGGCATGTGCGGAGGAAATCTCTAGGCTCCCTCTTTTCCTGAGGAAGCTGAAGCAGTGCTTGCCAGTGAAAAGGGAAAATCCCTCGGCTTGGAGCTGAGCTGGTTCTTTATCAGAAAGGCATTATCTAGGTAATTAGCTCTGCCTCTGAGTACAAATGTCTTTGGCTCTTCCACGCATGTGAGCCCGGAAGGAGAGGTTTGCTGAAACATCCCTGCATTGCTCCCGTTACATGCAGCTACAGTTCAGTGAGGAAGCCTTGTCCTGCCAGCTCGCACTGTAATTTGAGTGAGGCTTCACCGCCGTGTGCTCTGCTCTTGTGATAATTAAGTGGCTCTGGCCTGTTGCGTGACCTTTGCTCTTTGTCCCCCGTTTGCGTTTGAAAGCGCAGTGGGACAGATCTGCTCTTCTGATCCAGCCCCGCTTGTGTAGTAAGGGATACTGGTGCTTTGAAGCTGGTGTAAGCATGTCCTGGTGCTTCTTCCATCACGGTAGAGGAGGTTTAGTCAGCTCATCTGCAATATAGTAACCCCAACTCATCTCGCCATTCGCATCCTTCAAGGAGTTTGGGTGACAGCAGTAGCTTGTTCCTTCCGTTTCTGTCCCTGAGAGCAATTCTTGTCTTTGCTATTGCTCCTCTCTGTACATCCCTGCTCCCTCCGGCCTCTGCTCGGAGCTTGCCCCAGGAGGGCCTAGCCTGCTGCAGGCATGCCCGGTGGGGATGGCTCAGTTTCTCAGGCTGCGCTCCCCAAGCGTTGATGCAACTTGGGAGCTTTCAGCAGCAAATTGCATCTTCTAGTTCTTCTTTTTCTGAAGCCGCTTGCCAGAAGGCGGGGAGGACTCAAGGGTGGGATTGGAGCAAGGGAAGCCGCCTCCTCCCAGACTGGTGATGGTTGAAAGAGAAATAGGTGTTCCAATTCCTTTGATTTTTTTCCCATAGATTTTCATTATGGAGAGATAAAAGCAGGGAGAGTAGGAAGTCCTCCAGGCTTGGTCCTGGACATCTTTGGAGGTGGTTGCTCACATCTGAGATCCTCTTCCAGCAGACCGTGAATCATTTGATTGTCTGTATTGGACGCAGCCCCATGCTAAGTGACGGATAAGCACTTCGGAGTCTGTCTCTCAACACCGTTGTTTCCAACAGTTGGCTCGGGAGCTGTCAGGCAGGATTGAGAACAACACAGTGTGTCTTCTCAATTACACGGGTGCAAATCCAGAGGATTTCACTGGATCAGTCCCAGAAATAACAATCCTTTCAGTGAGCCGTGAACCTGGCTGCAGCAGGAGCACTGACAGGAGGGGGGGATCCTAGGGCGTGTGGTGGCATCGCTGCCAGGAAAAACAGCTCAAGAAGGAGCTCGCTGAAATGGTTTTGGTGAGCTGTTCCTGGTGTACGTGTTAAAAACAGGTAGTGTGCATAGAGCCTGCCTCTGTGGTATTAATGCAAAATTCCTTGGCATTTGACTGGGTCCCGTGGGAGTATTTGGTTAATTATATTTCACAGGGGTCGCTCCGGTGTGAATTACAGATTTGGATGCTTAATTGATAGGAGTAACTACCTATTCTAGGGGAAGGAGCAAGTGACCATCCCAGTTCCTGGGAGCATAGGCTGTTTTCCTAAGCAAATGGTACTGTGAGCTGGTTTCTCATGAAATATTTATCTGCTGGGCCACTTGGGGCTGTTGGAGTGGCCCTCAAAAAGGTTATTAGCGCACAGAGCAGATGGACGTGCAGAGACTGTTTATTGAATTCAGATTGCCTTTTGCCACTATCCTAATGCCAATTGGATGGCAGAAAAAATTATCCTGACCCCCTCCCACACCTCAGCTGCCTGGTTTTGCAACGGTGCCAGCATACAATCGGGTACAAGCAGGGAGGGAAACAGTTGGCAAAAGCCACTTCCCTCCCTGTGCTCTTGCACAGAGCTGGCTTCGCTGCTGATGCAGGGACGGATGCCCACAAAGTGTCTTGTTCATGGTCTTGTGCACACTGACAGATCACACTGCAGGTGCTCTGTATTGCTCTGGCACCATGGAAGAGGTCTACAGGGCAAAAATAGTGTCTGGGGGTGCAAAAGGCTGCCCCAGGCAGTGCAGAGCTGGTGGAAGGGCTGTGTCTTCGCCCTATTCTAGGTCTGTGATGTAGGTTGCAAGGGCGTTAGCTGTATGGCTGTGACACTCCAGCTCCTTTGCCTCCTAGACCCTTTGGCAAAGCAAAATACAAGGTGGAGCAGCCTTGAAGTGGCTCTGACCTGCGGCGTGGCCGTAGCATCATCCAAACCAGCAGGTACACAAAGGGCAGCTGGAGGAACCCACCTCTTCCCTCAAGCTCCTGCCCTAGATGCAGAAATTGGGATCCTTTTTCTTTGTCCAATTTAAAATAAATCAAAGCCATCTATTTTTTCATGAGGGAAGAAGATGAATGAAACAAATGCTTGGCAGTGCCTTTAGGAAGGCCTGGATCAGCGTGTGTGTTTCTTGTGGCCACCACTAGTGAGGAGACTTCTCTAGGTCAAGGAACAGACCTGAGCCAGTCCCTGGTGCCAGCGTACTCCTGGGTCACAGCAGTGAGCACTTTGGCTCTTGGTTGGTTTTAACACTGTTTTTTCTTCTTCCTTCAGGCTATGAAAGTCCTCTCCAAAAAGAAGCTCTTGAAGCAGTATGGATTTCCACGTGGGTATCTCACGTTTAGAGGTCTGCCTGTTGTCCTCAGCCAGGCAAATCTCTCTGTAGAAATGTTGTCTGCAAGGACTGCAGAACTTGGCCTCATTTGAAAGCTGCCCAAGTAGTTAGGGGCTCATTAAAAGGCAGTGGGTGGTGAAAGGGCAGGCACAACTGCAGAAAAATTCAATGCACTTAGTAATTAGGTTCCTGGCTTTGATTTTCTGAGTCTTTGAAGTGCTGGCTCTTCCATGTTCATTATCTATGAAGCCTAATTAAGTGCTGGAAGTTAGGCAGGGTAGACCCCCTCCTTCCAGCAGCTCTTCTACCCCTCAGATGGCACCTGGCTGCAGTGGCTGGGCCATGGGACCTGGCAAAAAGACCAGACTGGAAGCTGGGAGGAGCTGGTCTGAATGGGGCTTGGAGATAGCAGTTCCAGGTGGAAACTAATGCTTTGGAGTGATAAGAAGGTGATGAGATCTTTCAGAATAGCTGGAGGTGTCTGCAGAAGGGCTGCTCACTCCTGCATGCCAGGTGCTGCTGAAAACTGAGTTCCTCACCATGTTATCACACTTGCAGGTCGGCCTCCTCCCAGAGGATCAAAAGCTTCGTCTGGAGAGCAGCCAAAACCCATGGCACCACTGGACAGAGTCTATCAGGAAATAGCCATCCTAAAGAAACTGGACCATGTCAACATTGTTAAGCTGATAGAGGTGAGCTGCTTCTCCGCCCTAAACTACACTAAAACTGATTTGTATTGCAGCAGGAGGGTTTTTCTTCAACTGTTCCTACTTCATCCAAAATTGGTTTAAAATAGTAGTTCAGAAATTGAGGCTGGTGATTCCAAGTAAGACCATACCAATTATGCATGACAAACTGCCCCGCTTGCCCTGGGCTTGGGCTGGTGCCCAAGGCAGCTGGCTGTGCTGGTGGAAACTGCAGCAGGCTTTGACCGCTGAAACCTGTGTGTAGACAAGCCTGGGAAGGCGCACAAGTGCAAGGCTTCGGTGCTGTTTTTATTAGTGGCTGAGATCAGGTTAGGACAAACAGTGCCTTTATTGGTAGGCTGTTTCTCCAAATAGAGGCAGAAGCCCACGTTTTTCTGGAGACAGGAAAATCTGTGTCCTTCAAAGCCCCTTTCTTGGCAAGGATCTCTAAATATTAGCCTAAGTCACTCCCAATACTCTGCAGCTCAGCAAAGGGTACAGGGAGCAGTAAAATGTTACTTGATTTCATTTTTTTTTTCCCCTTGCTGTTTTTCTTTTCCCCTTTGCCCTTATCTCTCTGTTACCAATTACAGGTCCTTGATGATCCTGCAGAGGACAACTTGTACATGGGTAAGTGAGTCATGTATGCTAAGGGAACCATCTGGGCTTACACCTAGTGATGCAAGTAGCACGTACCAGGGTTTGGGGGCGATACCAGGAGAAAACTTGTATGGAATGCTTGTGAAGGGCCCCTTGCAGTAGGATGAAGCAGCCTCATGTCTTAGTACAGCTGTGCACATCTTGCCATGAGGACACTAAAAAGATATGCATAAGGGTGGGCAGAGCCCTCCGACTCTGGAACCTGTGTCGGTTCCAGTCCTGGAGCTGGGAGAGAAAGAAAGGGCACAGGGTGGTTTTTTGACCTCCTGGTATGAGGTTGGTCCCTCCAGAGGCAGCTGTGGATAGCGGTAGTGCCTCTGGAAAGCAGTCTCATCTCAGTGTGCTCCCTCTGACCCCCGCAGGGCACTGAGCACCCTGCTTGAGCCTCGGGACCTCCTAAGACAGCAGCATACCAGCCTCTGAGCCCAGGCCCTGCCGTGGGGTGCTCAGATGGGAGGCCATACAGAGCGTTTATGCAAGGAATTTCCACCTGTATTTTCATCTTCTCCCCCAAACCTTGCATGTGCCAGCCATGCCCTAACCCTGTTTGGGCACAGCCAGGAGGGACAATAGAGCTGGGCCAGAGGAGGGGGATGTCTAACCCTGTTACATCTCTGTTTCCCTGGAACACTTCCTGATGAGATAGGCTCAAAGCCTGCTTCTCATGAAATAATGATGCTTCTGACGCTGCCTGTGAAAGGAGGCTCTGCCTAGCAAATGAAGCTATTTGCCTTTGACAGGGCACTCTTGCCTCTCGGCTGAAGCCCCAGTGGCACAAGGTAGGGCGCCAGCCGGTGTGGTGGGGAAGGGCAGCTGAAGCCGTTGTTTAAAGGCCTGAACTCCTGGGGATGCAGATAAGGGAAGAGTTGTGGTAGCAAGCCTTTTTGTTGAATGAAAATAAATGTATAAGGAGGTTAAAAAAGCTGCAGAAGAGGGGAAAAAAAAACCCAAAAAACCCAGAAAAACCCCAAGCTCTCCCTGTGGAGTAAGGTAACAGTCCCAGAAGTGGCAGCAATAGCAGCAGGACAAGTGAGAAATCTCTTGGTCCCACTGGGGGTCGTGAGGAGGCTGCGCTGGCCCCTGGGAAGCCAACAGTGGCTGTGTCCATGTTGTCTGTGCCCCATCACCTCTTCACTTCCCTCCGCTGTGCCTGGGATCCCGTGTGTAGTTGAGGCAGAGCGATGCAGGCCAGTCAAGCTCCTGCCTCTGCAGTTCCCTCTGCAGCAAGGGGAAGCTGTGGGTGCTCGGTGCAGCTCAGGGCTCAGCCTTCTGCGAGTGTGTTTCCTCCCTCCTGCTGCTGACCCAGCCAAGTGATAACTGCATCTTTCTCCATGGAAAAGTGTCCCCCGTGACAAAGCAAAACTAGAGAAAGTGGAGTTGGCTCTTTGCTCATTACTGCTGGTGTTAAGTACTGCTGTGAGCACTCTGCGTGCTCCTTGGGAAGAAAGCAAGGGATGGTGGGTGCTGATGGAAAGTGAGTAACCTGCAACGGTACAGTATGGTTTAATAATCAAATGCTGCCACAAGCTGCGGCCTGGAGAGCAAGATGAGCCAATGCAGGCTGGCTTGATGTTTTTGTACCTTCAGCTGGTAAGCAGGCCTGTCTGGGGCTTTGGGGAGGGCAGTCTGCTCAGATTTCTTTGGAATGTGCAAGAAATCCCTTAGTAATTTGTGAGGAAAGAGCTCTCTCACTAGGTAAAGGCAGATCCTTCTCCTTTGCAGAACAGGTCAGAGACAGGATCAGAAAAACACATTGCCACTAGCCCCCTAATGAGACACACAAACTCATGTGCTTTATAAACCTCAACTCACACCAACAAATCCTCTTCAATCACTCCTGCCAGGGAGTGTTTACCTCTGACAGCCATGTAGCTGTGCTGCTGATTGACACACCAGAAATGGAGCAGCATGTTCTTACAGCATCTCGTTCGGTATCAGCAATTCAGCAGAAATATCGCACCAAACACCCTCCCTGAAGGTACTGAGTGAGTTGGGGCTCAAATCAGCAAGGGTTGACACCTTGAGTGGCAGAAATGTGGTTGATAAATTAGCACCCGCTGTCTGCTGCGTGGAGCTGGCGGGAGGTGGGGATATTTGTCTTTGCCAAAGAGATGAGTATTTTCATTTTGCATCCTCTGGTGTCCTTGTCATGGGTGAAGGAAGAGAAGTGAGTGGATATAAACTGATTTTGCAGGTATGGGAATGGATGTGTTTTTGTAGGTGCTAAAAAATGAATAAGCCTAGTCCCCTCTTCTGATTCATTCATGGTTTGATTTCCTTTTCTTGCAGTGTTTGACCTCCTGAGGAAAGGGTAAGTAGCCCTTTTGGGTTCCTTTGGGTTTAAATTTTTGGTGTTCATCATTAGCTTCCTAGGTGAAATGGAGGTTTGATGTGTATGGTGGGGCAAACCGCTCTCTGCCACCAAGGTCAGAGGAGGCAGAACCCAGCCTTTGCACTGCTACAGCCTGGAACAGTGTGGTGCTTAGCAATGGGCTGGGCAGACATGTCCCGGTGTCAGGCTTTCATCGGGAAATACAGTTGAACTAATTCCCCATCAGATGCCTGGAAGAAGAGGTTTTAACAGGAGTACTCTGCTAGGGTAACAGCCACATTGCGGCATGTACTTGCCACTTGCTGCCTTATTCTTGCCGCTAGCGATAACGTGCTGTGGGAGGCTGTTTTGTTGTCATGTTTTTCCATAGCAGGGTGATAAGGTGATGGGAGTCTCCTCATTGCTTTTTGCTACTCCTGCACTGATTCTACAGCTCTGCAGAGTCACAGCGAGGTCAGGAGAGCTGTGCCCAGGATGGGGGAGATTCCCAAAGGGTTTTTTTTTTTCTCTGGCCCCATGAACAAGCCGCTTGCAGGCTGTCAGCTCCAGCAAGTTGCTGGTGAGAGGCTCCCCAGTCTCCCTGGTGACCAGGCTGATGACTATCCTGTAGGAGAGGGGGAGGAAAAACAAAAAGCTCCTGTAATCAGCTGTGGCCAGGGAACATGCAGCTCGGCCAAGTGTACAGCCTGTCTGCCTCAAGCAGAAAGCAATTAGACTCCATTAGTGGCTCTGCCAGTCCTGCTGCTCACATTATTTATTTCTCTCTGGTTTCAGCAGCAGAAAAATGTGCATGAAGAGGGAGGGAAGGCAGTGGCAGGAAAATGCAAATGGGAGATGAAGGTCATTGATCAAATGGCATCAAGGGAGAAGAGAGAAATGATGCAGGAAGGATTTGCTGCTGGGTGCTGAGGGGAAGAGCTGTGGAGCCTGATTTTGGGAATGGGCTAGTCTCAGACAGGGTTTGGCTTGCAAGGACGGTGATTCAGGAACACTCGCTTCAATCCAACTTGAGTCAGTGGGTATATGTCCAAACACAAGGCCAAGCTCCCGAGCACAAGCAGGATTAGCCCCCAGTGCAGTGAAGTCCTTAGCTCCTGCCATTCATCTGCTGGGGAACAGAAGTTGCTGACTAGCTCTTAGAGTCTCTTTGTCCTTAGCTTTCAGCAGGCACAGGCAGATGAGGGGCTTTTAGAGGATACTATGCATCTCTCAGGAGTGGCAGCATTCAAAGGAAAGGAGAGGAGAAGCTGACCAGGTAACCTTGGCTGTTCAGGGCTGAATGGCTCAGTTCTGGTGGTGGCTGAACCCTGAGCGGCTAAATAGGTTTTCAGAGCAGTTTAGCACAATACACTGGAAATATTCCCACTTAACCTTTGAGTTAGTGGTTCATGTCTAGATTCTGCCTTGGTTTAGACCAGCTGTGTGCTGCTGTTGCTTCAGGACTGAGCCCCAGCAGGCACAACATCCAGTGCACAGCAACAGGCACTCTGTCCCTGCTGCTGCCTGGTACCTCCTGATGATGCTGGTGCTCACAGCCATGAGAAGCTTTAGCAAGAAACCCAAGGCCAGATCCAGTTTTGTTCTTTCCCCACACTTTTTCCATTTGCCTTATTTAGGGCAGACAGCAGCAGTTAATCCTGATGTTGATGAGGGCTCTGTAGCTCATACTGGCTCAGGGACTGTGCAAAGCCACCCATCACTGCCAGCCAACCTCGCTAACCTAGGCCACAGCAGGTCCAGAAGGGATGGCTATGCCACCATCCTGCATTAGAGCACCCAGAACCTCTTGGGAGACTGGCCCTCAGTGCTGGAGAACATGAGCATCCTCCAGCAAGGAGTGTGCTGCCATTCTCCAAAGTACTTAGGTTGCTCTCCCTCTTCCTAACAGGCCTGTCATGGAGGTACCAAGTGACCAGCCCTTCAGCGAGGAGCAGGCTCGGCTCTACTTCCGAGACATCGTCTTGGGCATCGAGTACTGTGAGTACCACCAGCACTGGCAGCGGCTTTGCAGAGCACGTGGTGGCCTCCTGCTCAGCTGAGGAGAAGCTTCCTGGCTCTGCTGGGCTCTCAGTTGAGTGAGCGAAGTCCCCTCGAATTGCACATGATGGGGTTTGCAGTTGGTGGTGGCCCCACTCAGCTCAGACGTACCCAGGCAGTATCACAGATGCTGGGAGCAAGAATTTCTTAGAAAACAGACATTAGGAAAATAGTGGCTTCCTTTTTTCTTCCATTTATCTCTCTTTGGAGGGTTTCTTGGAAGGCAGTAGCAGAGCCAGAAAGTGGGTGTTTGCAGTGATGTGGGCTGAGTCAGTTGTCTTCAGCTGGAGCAAATTCCTGGCTCTAGCTTAGCACAGCAAGCACCGGCCATGGGGAGAGCTGGCAAGCGGCCTGGGAAGGGTATCTGTATGTGCCCTCTGCAGCATCAGTCTGAGCGACTCCTGTCACTCAGGCCTGCGGGGTGATGAGTCCAGCACTGCTGTGCCCTCTCTGGGAGATAGTGTGTTCCCAGGCTCTGTCTGGAGACTCCAGCAGCAGGTTCCTCTTTCTAGCCTATTTGATTATTGTCACTTTTTTTCAGTAAGACCTGAGCGTACAGAGAGGCCATGATAGGTCTGTCAATGGCAACAGGCATCTTTATGGCCCCACTGTAGTTGATGCTGGCATGAATCTGGCCGGGGTGGCAGAAGGGGGGTCCCTGAATTGAAGACAGAGTGGTCTGTGTGCTGGCATCTTGTGAACGTGGGCCCCAAGGAGCAGCGAGGGCTGGCTCGTGTTTCCCCTCGTGGGCTCTTAAGGGCAGCATGTCCATGTAAGCGCTTGCTCGCTGCAGCAGGGGGATGTGAGGCTGTCAGATGGTGAATTTTGCTCATGGCTCATCTGCAGACCTTGTGCTCTAGCCTTCGTGGCTGGGCTGCTCTTCTGTGCCAGCCCTGGGGGGATACCAACAAATTGCTGGTTGTTTTCTTTTGTGTAAGACAGACCTCAGAGTAGCAAGCACGGTAGAGCTGGGTGCAGGACACATCCATACCCTGCAGGGGATGTGGGTCAGAAAGCCTGGTGCCTTGGTGTGGGGTGATGCTAGCATTATTCCTGTGCTGTGTCTATATTACGCTGCACATTTCCACTCCTCCTGAGCCTCCTACCAGCATTGTCACCAAGTCAGAAGGCACAGCTCGGATCCCCTGCTGCTCACTCGCCTTAGGGCCCTGCATTGGAGACAGCCTTCCGTGGAGCTTGGTCATCTCCTCATGGACTGCTTTCTCTGCACACTGGTGCACTGAAGAGTCCGCCACAGTTGGATGGCTGCATATGAAGAGTCAATACAGCTTTTGTGGAGGCAATTCATGCCTCACAGATCTATCCGTTTCCCAGGCAAGACCACAAACATGTAGATAAGGTGATCCTGAAACTACACTGTTTCGATTGCCAAACAGGTTTTGAATAGATCCACTAACAGTAGCTCATAAAGAAGCTCATAAGTCTCTTTGATTGGATGGCCTCTTGTGGGTTAATAACTAGACAATCAGGAAAGTAGGAATACAGCTTTCACAATGGAGAGAAGTCACTAGAGCAGTTAAACAGGAATCCATCGCATGGCCTGGGTTGTTCAACCTATTTCTAAATGACCAAAAAGAAGGGGCAGAGTACAATAAAAGAGATTGGTGATGACATCTAGTTATTTAGGATAGTCATTGTTAGAACTCGCTGCGAAGACTGGCAGGAAGATGGCATGATAGCAAGTGACGGCATGATAAAGTGGCAGATAAAAATTCATGTTGCTGACTGCAGGGTAATGCATGGGGGGGAGAAACAACACTAAAAATACGTACATTGTGACGGGCTCTAAATTAGCTGTTCTCACTCAGGCTTCATTCTGGGTAGTTCTCTTGAAAATGCCAGACCATTACTTAGTGACATTCCACAAAGCTAACAAGATTTGTGGGGTGATTGGGAATGAAATAGAGGAGAAAACAGAAAATGTCATTATGCAGTAGTTTGGATCTGCGAGAGCTTTTAGGTACAGGCAAGGAATAGCTTGAATATTTTGTGCAACTCGACTCAGCCTGGTTTAGGAACAGCTCTCTAGAACTGAAAAAGCCCAAAGAAGGTGATCAGGGTGGTCCTGCAACCTCTTCTGTACAGAGATGGAACCTCTTCTGTACGGAGAAAAGACCAAAGCTCTTAAGATTTGAAAATTATCACGCATAGGGGTGATGTGATAGAGGCTTATAAAATCCTAAGTGTCAGGGAAGTGATAAACAGAGAATGAATCTTCTCTGTCTCTAAACCCACAAGAACTAAGGGGTAGCAAACAAAATAATCAGGTGGCCAGTTTAAACCAGAATGTGAATTAGCTCTTTCACGTAGCGTGTAATTAAAGTGTGAAATTCGGTGTTAGAGGAGGTAGCAGATGCCAGAACTAAATGGGCTCCAAGTGATTAGACAGATCTGAGAAGAGAAGAGCATCAAGGACAATGAAATACGAGGATACAGGCAGAGTTTGCCATTGGGCTGCCTGAAGCAGGGCGAGTGCGTACTGGAGGTGTTACATCTCTGCCTGATGCTTTTCCCCAAGTAACTGACCCCATCAGGAGATGGGGTGCTGGGGTAGGTGGGCCTTTGGTTTGGCTCCTTTTCCATCCTCCTTTCTGCTCCAGTAGCTTGTCCACATTAAGTTATCACTGTGCTGACCTGATGGCAAAGGTAGCTGAGACTGATCTAGGTTAGCTTGGCGTGTCTCAGCCATGGCAACCTTTTATAAACCTGGCTTACTTTGGCAGTGCAAACACACAGTTTTGGTGGCAGATCTGAAGGCAGGGAAGCCAGCACAGGGAGGGACAAGGACGTTTGAGCAAGTGATTGTCATGCCCAGTCAATGTGCAGTTCAAAGTATGAAAGGTCAGACATGTAAGACAGCAGTGTCACGCTCCCCGTTTAATCCAAGGTGAGATTTTTCCAGCTGTTTCAACCTTTGATTGTCATGCCCAGTCAATGTGCACTGCAAAGTGTGAAAGGTCAGATGTGTAAGACAGAGCTGTGTCACCCTCTCTGTTTAATCCAAGGTGAGATTTTCCAGCTGTTTCAACCTGAGGAAATAAATTCCTGCTTCTTTCACAAACCAGAGGGAATTGTTTCAAAAGTGCTTTTAAAAAGCAGGTAGGTGCATCAAACTGAAAAGTAATGTTTCATGCTGCTGTGGTGCTTTGAGCCACATCTGCCTTAATTTCAGCAGGCTCTGGTGGCCCCTGCAAGCTCAGCAGCTCCTCAGAGCCAAAGCAAGCTCCTCACTGCTACAGTGCTTTTGCTGGAGACTCACCTGGCTTCAAACACCTCCAGGGAACAAGTCTCTGAGCATGACGGACCTTGCCGAGGCAGAGGAAGGTGGTTTGCAGTGTCCCAGTCCATCTCCAAACAGAAATGCAGCAGCGTCTCATTTTTTTTATCTAAAACCACTGTGTGGAAATAAAATCAACATTGGCAAGCCTGTGTCAATCCAGAAGCTTCCAGGTGCTGCCAAAATCAGTCGGGTCACCCCAGGAAGTCGATGGAAATATATATATGAATGGGAAGGTCAAGACTGTTTTTCAGTAGAGTTTGACGGGTGAAGACTGCAGCTTTTTTATCCTCATTAGCATTCCTGTTACAGCAGAACCTGTATGCCTCAGCTGGGAGATCCAAGCTCTGCTGTGCCGGATGCTGCTGGCATCACAGTTCCTGCTCAGAGGAAACTTTGAGTTTAGAAGATAGTTTAAAAAACCCAAAAGGTGAAGTGTGGGTAGTCCTAGGCAGAAGGAGTGAAACTGGATAAGGAATTATAGGATGCCCAAGCACTCCCAGCAACAGGAACAATAGGATGCTTTATTTTGGGCTATTGAGTAACCACTTACTTTATTAGCGAATGGAAGTTTAAAATGGTGCTCTCTCAGAACTGCTGGGTAAATGTGTGGCAATTATTATGTAATTACAGAGGAAAAGCGCACCGTTTGTGCATGCTGAAGGAAAAGTGTTGCCTGGCAATCTAGAGATTGCAAGGTAATTTTAATGTAAGCATATGTAATTGTTATGTAATTTGGGCGACTCAATAACCGTGCAGCTGCCTGAAGCTCGCAGTCATCACAGCAGCAAATGCATCGTTGCTAGTTGAAGCTTATTAAATTAGAAGTTGCAAACTGGATTCCTGTCGGAGCCTGCCAGGCTTTAATCCGGGCCAGCGCGCTGCCCTTGGTGCAAACTGTCTGTGGTGAGCAGGAAGGGGCTGCAGGAGCCAAGCTGGTGGGAGACGTGGGCTGACCTTGCAAATTACCACCACCCCTGTGTGTCCGTGGGGACTGGACTCTACCCGGTACTGATGACACTTGCCTGGGGTGGAGGCCTCCTGCGGGAGGGCTGGCTCTGGGGAGAAGTGTTTGTAGGGAGATACTGATCAGTGAGATGAGAGGAGAAACATCCCATGCCGGATTGTGGTCAATGGGGCAGAGGCTGG